CAGTTTGTTTAAATACTGGTGACATGATTCAATCACATATAACCCCAAAATGTATCACGGGCGTGAAAAGATTTTAAGAGAAAGAAAACGAGGACAGACAGGACAACAGAGAACAGTGGCAGATAGCCAACGATACTGTCCTCCTCCATCATTCAATGCTCACTGCCCAAACGTAATGCATCCTCGCAGGCAGCTGTTTACGACTCGCTTACCTAAAGACCCTTGACCGAAACACGCGGGCACACGTGCGCCAAATTGTCCCAGCTGCCAAAGGTTCCCTTAAGCACGCCATCCCTCGGCCTATACAGCAGGGGCATTTACACGCGACACCCCCTCGTGCAATGCAACGTACCAATCACACATCGCTTGAACTCCCTTTACAAGCAAGTGAAAGCAACTGCCACCACTCATATATACAGTCACGCACTCTCGGGCACGACTGAACGCAGTCAGCATAAGCTCTGGCTTCGCCAGTGGCCACAGCTGATTGAGACAGCAACGCAGGATTCTGTGTTCAATAAATTCCTCCCACTAGTGATTTTAGCCTTTTACCTACAACCTGGGATTCGACCCAACGATTGCGGTGCTCTAAACACAATCACTGCATAGAGGCTACAAAAATTTGGTAAAAGCAACAAAGTACACCAGTATACCACACGACCAGATTATCAATGAGTTCTCGCAGAAATTGTCAAAACTCTCTTCCGCGGATGTTTGGCTATAAGTACATGAGATTAGAGGACCTGACCTTTTATACTGCCATTGATTGGAAAAACAGACGAAACCTGTTGCAACACCTGACAGATTTCCCAGGTTAGCAAAGAAATACGAGCGAGATGGTTTATGCTAGTTTGTGGCGCAGGCCGTGACCAAAGAGTTGTCCGCTTAAATCAGAAGCCGCTTCCTTTACCCAAAACGGCAGTCTGCTATTCTAAAAGTTACTTTAATTAGGTCCACCAATGCGTTTAGGAGGTACCCAACATCCATGAAACCTAAATTGATACGGCTGTAGTTGAACAGGTCTACGTTCAGAGATCATTTAATGCGGAGTGCGCGATACAAAAAATGATCGGCTCCGGTTATACCATTAATTACAGCGACACATCACGTAAAAGCGAAAAGATAAGAAAAATAAGAATTATATGAGGACGAATAATGCCGTACCGAGATGAATAATGGGTGATGCCTTGGGACAGGCAGACGCAAATACGTAAACGTGGGCCATAACGTCATGACGGCGTTGTATCTCCTCCAAAGCTGCTTTTTCGAAGTCAACATTATCCATCTGTTCTCGCATTTCCTGTAGCTGCTCATCTTTAGACAAGAAAATAGACAAACATGGATTTCGGTAAACTGGGTCCAGGCAAAGTTATTGTGATAGTGGTGTTGATGTACTTACCAGTTATTTCAACGCCCAGCTCCTTCTGCGCTTCAGCGAG